CCAGACGATGAACCCAATACAGGATGATTGAATGAAGCACACGATTTCCCATTACACAAAAATCCAACTGCCACAGAGTCGCAGACAGCAACCCACTCTCCACAGGGGTTCCTGGGGGACCCAGGCATGTTCTGGCACCTGCCTAAACCCCCATTATAGCAGACCGAGTCTGAGTCTGTCTGACCGACCCCCAAAACGTGAAAAATTCAAGGCCTACTAGTATATATGATATTTGAGATTTCCGGTCTGGAAGACTGAGAACAAGGTACCAGAAGACATCCATCACATCCAACATATCCCGAATTAAAGCCCGGGTGAGGCAAAAGGACCCTCTTTTTGACCCTCTGTAGTGATACATGGGGATTACTGGCCGTTGTCTTTACCCGATTAGAACGCCCTTCGCCCGGTCATTATTATAGCTGTATTGGGCACAACTCCCCAGTCCAGATGCAGTGATAATGACCAGGTGTTCTATTCGGGTGAAGTCCATAGCCGTTGACTTCACGTAAGTGCTCTGATCCAACAGCTACGGCAAAGTACTTGAACGGTTGAACCATTTGTTACAGGACAATCTTTTTTTTTTTTTTTTTTTTTTTTTTTTTTTAATTATTTTACAGGACAATTTCCCTCATGGTTCGCAACTTCGCAAAACTTTGCAGAACGATAAAAAAGGACAGTAAATCCCCAGAAGCATAAAATACACAGACAAAGGTCCCTACCATCTTCCCCCAAACACAACACCCTGATGATGGGCCTGATCATTATCTGTATACAAGCTACCTTTCTGGTCGAATACACAATACAGTCATAACGAAAGTAAAAAAGGACAGTAACCCCCCAGGGCCCCAGAAGCATAAAATACACAGACAAAGTTCGAAGGTCCCTACCTGGCCTACCATCTTCCCCCGAACACAACACACGGTGACCCTGATCATGATATGTATGCACGCTATGTTTTCTGGTCGAATACAGTCATAATCAGGGTCCACCCCAAGAACCATGATAAAAAAGTGACAAAAACATACAAATGTGTCCTTACCCTCCTTCCCCCAAACACACAGTACACCCAGGCCTGCTTATGAATGTATACAAGCTATATTTCTGGTCTCATACCTTGCTGTTAGTACCCTCTTTCGGAGTCTTTTCCCCTAACACAAACACTGTCACCCTGATTTTGAATGTATACAAGCTTTATTTCTGGTCTCATACCTTGCTGTTAGATGAATAATTATATCCGCTTGTCACCTTCTTGACAATGTACAAGATTCTCCACCAACTTCAAGACACTCAGCACTGACCCATACCGAATTCAATCTTTTTTTTTTCCCTTCCACACACTGACACTGTCAGTCAGAATACTCCATACCTGTACTGTCTGTTAATGATATGTAAATTAAGTGAAAGAACTAAAATGAGTTCCCAACTTTCAGCACTTACACTTTGTACTCTCTCTCTCTCTCTCTCTCTCTCTCTCTCTCTCTCTCTCTCTCTCTCTCTCTCTCTCTCCTTTTTTGTGAAAGATGTGTTTCCGACAGCTTGCTCAAAGACACCTGTGTCGATACATGTATTATAGTAGTAATAATAGTACACCTAATCAACAGCTAATGACTTGACACTCAAAGTCTCGGCCTTTTCCCATTTCTTCGGGGAACACCTCACCTGCAATCTCCACTATTCTGCATACCGGCCTGTGCTGTGATACCAGTTATGGTCATCTCCACGGTTCAGGACCTTCAGGTCATCAGAAACACCCCTTTCGACTTCCCGTCACTTCTGAGTGGTTCAATCTTCAAAAGCATTTCAAGCGTGGAAGACTGATCAACGAAATCACGGCAACGAAACCACGGCTTTAAAGAGTTCGTGCGAAGGTGCATTCACACTACCTTTTCCCCCCAAATAAAACGTCAATCATTATAGCTGTATTTAGACTGAAAGATACCCCAAACCATACGTCGTATTCAGGGGAAGACTGTAGTACTCTCCCGAGTCCCAACACACATGCATGATTGCACGTGACAAATGTCTTCCCCCACGTTCTCCTCCCTCCCCCCCCCCCCCCCCCCCCCCCCCCCCCCCCCCCCCCCCCCCCCCCCCCCCCCCCCCCCCCCCCCCCCCCCCCCTGCCCCCCTCTGAATGACATTGTTGTACAATGGGGCAAGATACAGTTCGCAATAATTGCACTTCCAGCACCCTACCTGGCCAGAAATCTGGGTTGCATACATTGCCCGAACTGCAATTTGAAGCTGTATCTTGGCCCATAGTGCAATTATAACTCATTTTTGTGACTCCTGCGTAGTTCCTAGTCTCCCCATATTCCTTTAACGGGAATACTGACACACTACTACATAGTACACACCCACCTGGTCCAATGATTAACGTTATTGGTTCCACTATTAACTTCCATACCACAGACTTAGTATACCTCTGTAACCTCTCCGCGTCCGACGTTGTGTGTTGTTACATAAAGTATAGGGTGAACCACCTACACATCTCAGAGCATAGAATAGAGTCTTAGACCAATCCCTTCTCTCCTTGCTAGTTAAACTGACCAGTGACCCCATCCTTTATCTCGATCATAATCCAGCAAGTTGATCCCCATTCCTCCTTGGGGGTAGACAGAGCCAAAACCCGCGTCCCTTCTCTCTTTCTTTGTCTCTGTCTACCCCCATCACATCGGATTCCCCCTCATATGAGTCATATCTGCCCAATCCAAATGTCGGCTTGCCTTCTTTCTCCTCGGCCCCACATCGGATTCCCCCTCCTTATATCTGCCCAATCAAAATGTCGGCTTGCCTTTTTTCTCCTCGGCCCTTCTTCTCTCCTTCATCCCGTCCATGTCCTCGCTTCTCTCCTCCCTAGACTATGCCTTCCGGGCCCTTCCCTCATCTCTTCCCTCGTTCCTTATCTCGGTCCCACCTCCACCTCTTTTCTCCTCTAAGTCCTCTTTTCTCTGTTCATCCCCTCTCTGCTCTCTTCTTTGTCTTCTGGCTCTCCTTGTCGAGTCCTCGACCCCCTCAAAAACATGCATTTATAAAATTTGATTTATAAAACAAAAAAATTGTTCTTGTTTTTTTTGTCTTTCAATCACACACACTCTGCCCTGTCTGTGCGGGGGGGCGGGGCATCAGTCCGGTGGTGGGCAAGTAAGACATATGAATGAACAAGCAAAAGAACACCTCAGACCCAGTACTGCAGCCCCTAGACAGGAATAATGTGATATGACATTTCACTTGCCATCAGTAGCATGTTACATGTACACATTTACTGGCCGGCCGCCGGAGAACCACATAGACATTGATGTGTCCTTAATAAAACCTATTAACCACAGGTCCACCGCCCTTGTTTGGCTCCACACTTCAGTTTTTCTCCTTATTCTCCAATCCCTATACCCACCTCCATACTCTACACTACTTTCAAACCTATACGTCACCATTGCTGAGGGTCCTGGTCAACCCTAATCAATATAATCATCTATCAGATTCTCCCTTAATAATCTTACCATGGATGACTGAGGATTCAATCATGTGGATAAAATGTAGATAAAATGTCGATACAACGTGAATGAAGTCCATACGCATCCAGGTTCTACACAACTTATTCCTGTTATAGAGGCTGTGGAAATTTCCCCTACCTAAAAAAAAACAAAAAACAAAAAAAAACAATAAAAACAAATAAATTTCCCCTACCTTAGGCTACCTACTGTCGTGTCAATTTCACCAGAGGCCACAGCGCCATCCCCATTTCGTCAGGCTTTCACAGCTCGCCGCTCCGGCATGCATTTGTGATAGGCCCGCCTTCCTTGTTGCCTTAACACTCTACTCTTAACACTTAACACTTACTTAACACTTAACACTTAAGTGTAACTTAACACACTTACTTAATACTTATCCTCGCGATTCTTCAGTTCTCCGCGTGATATCTATGATATGAACAGTAAACTAACGATAGGCCCCCCCTCCCTGTTGCCTTACACTTCACACGTCACACTTAACACATATCCTCGGTTCTCCACGTGATGGCTACGATATGAACACTAAGGAGAGCGCAGATCCTCCACTGCCCGTCTATTTGGGCCCGAGGCCACGAGTCCCAAGACGCAATTCCCAATGTCCCATTATGTCACTGCATGGCAACTTGGTCCCAGGAAAAAGACTCAGTCCTCCTGGGACCACGTGGGAGTACGGATTGCGCATTGTTACATATAATCCTCGGTGCTTGACGTAGATTCGTAGATCTTCGAATTGATCTCCTTTGATAGACACTAACTACAATAGTCTCATGGGGTCCAAGGCTGAAATAGGAGGTGGTGCAGAGGAGAGAAGTCTAAGGGCTACCTAGTAGGGAGCCTATGCAGGGAGGGTAAGATGCCCAGCTTCCCCTGGACTCGTGAGTCGTGACCCCTCAAAGCCTGATTCTGACTCCACAAACAAACTTATGCAACCTTCCTTCGAAAAAAAAAGAAAGTAATAATGTAGTAATAATGTACCAATTTACTACCAAATGTACAAATCTACCAATACTATATATAATCAACGTGATAAATTGACGACGATAATAATGTGATTAGCGACGGTAATAGGTTTCTCATCGGCCACCCTTATTAAACGTTGTCGTACATTACATTATTGTAACGATTCCGGCCTCGGCAGCAGCTTTCTTTTCGGGTCTGCCTATTGGAAACGTGACTCACAGACTCTCACTTACAGCCTTGTTACAGGAGGAGATCACAACTTAACTTCTCCAGAGTCCCAAACTTCTCCTGAGTCCCAACATGTTCGATTTTCTGGTACCTCCACATTCCCACGCACTTGCTACGACTCAAGCCACAGTTTCAAAATAGCTATCTCCCGTGCTGTGGCTCCGTAATTGCGTCCTTCCTTGCTGTCCTTTACATCAATCTCTCTCTCTCTCTCTCTCTCTCTCTCTCTCTCTCTCTCTCTCTCTCTCTCTCTCTCTCTCTCTCTCTCTCTCTCTCTCTCTCTCT